TCATGGGATCCAACACGCACAGTGTGAACCCCGTGCGGTCCTGCAGGCGTTACAAGAGGGAAACCAAGACGTTCATAGCAGTACCTGGACCTAGCTTGGCCAAAGTGTACTACCAGAGTATGGGTGGTACAGACCGAGCTCCTTTCATTCTACCGAAACAAACTCAAGAGCAAGAAATGGTGCAGGAGGATTATTTTTCACCTGCTTGATCTTGCCGTTGAAAACAGCTGGCTCCTCTACTGCACTGTAAAGGGCTCCCAACTGCAGCTTGCAGAGTTCAAGCTGCAAGTGGCAATCGGCTGGATGAAGGCAGACGATGCTATAGATGCAGACCTCGAAGACAGTCGGTTCCCTGTCGAGTACTATGGTGTCAACCATGTTCCGATCAAGGTCCCGCAAAAAAGTGACCCTCGGTGCAATCTACCAACATGCAACCGATGTAGCAGGATGCAATGCAGGAAGCACCAAAATGTAAGTACAAAAACTGCCTGTTCGAAAATTTAATGAACCGTTCGCATGTCTCAGATTACAATAGCCGGTAGTCCGCTGCCGCCTGTGCTCATGCATAGTATCGTTATCGAACATCGTTATAAGTGGTATTGGAAGGATCTACTAAAACCTTATGGTTAGCTATAGTGCGCGCTTTAGTAAATACACTGTGACGTTGATGGCAAGCATAGATAGCTAAAAATCCGGCGCGCTAACGTTCGTACCTCGAACTCACGAACGTTACCTGAGCGCAGAGCCACGTGTCCATACACCAGTCTGTGTTACGCGCACTGATCATGCTGCTGGACTATCGACAACGTTACTAAATAAGCTCAGTTACGAAACTGCCCATAGACTCGAATTGAATGAGCAGTACCCCCCCCCCCCCCCCCCCTTTTTTTTTACCCACGGCTCGCCTCCCGTTTTTCGACGCGCCACCGTTTCTGGGGGACTGGTGGTGTGCTGGCTGCAGTGTATCCTATGGAATACGTATGTTTTGAAGCGCTGCGTCCAGCTGGCGTTTCACAATTCTTTGTGGAACACTTTTGGAACGAAACTCTAGATGGTACTTCAAGCGACGGGAGGCGGATTGAGGGGAATGAGGAAGGTACCCCCCTTCTCGGGACTTCCAGAACTAAGGGACCGTCGCGAGACGGCGCTTCAGCTGCGTCAGCTTACGCGTCACTCGTGTGCTCGTAAAGGATATATTAAGCCGAGAGCGACGGCAGGCGCGGCAACATTTCTGTTTTTGTTGTCAACGGTTTCAAGATGCGCTTATGTGGACTTTGTCGTTGGTGTAACCTAAGGTCACCCAGAATAATGAAAGCCTGCTCCATCTCCGTATAACGTCATCGCACTTGGCAAACGCCAACTTAGGAAGTGGAGTCCTTCGAAGTATTGACTGAACCCGAGGTTCAGCAAACGCAGACGCGGCACTCGTGTCCCCTCCCTGGGCTCCACCTCACCCCGATGACGTCGTCAAACTCTTCGATTATTCGAGCTGGTGATGGTAAAGGCCCGTTCGCGCGGCGCTGTTGGGCTACGGAATTCGCTTACGTTGCGTTGTGGTACGTATCAGCGCGACACCCACCTGTGCTTCGTATGTTGCCTGCAAAGCTACTCCCCGACTCGGTCGCTACGCGTATCAAGCGAAACACGAATATGTCTGCGACTCGGGGTCGGCCTCATCGCCGTCAAACGTGATAAAAGGCTGCTGCGGGAATGGGCCTCTACGGAGCCTTTTAATATTGATCGTTGTACAGACTCGGAAATAATCCGTAACAAGTAACGCTATTCCGTGTAATAAATTACGTTTCTAGTAATTTAGTAATTAATCCATCACTTTCTGAAGATGTAATTTGTAATGTAATTTCATTACTTTTTCAGTAACGAGTTACTTAAATTACTCGTTACAATTCTTCCGCCCCGTCAAAGGGAGGAATAGAGTGGAAGAAGGGCGATGCAACGGCCTTCGCGCTTTTATCATGGTAACACGAGGCGGGGGTTCGCTCGCGAAGAGAGTGCTCGTGAAGGAAAGGAATTCACGGAAACTCGACAGCCCAGCCAGAGCCCGTTTCTCGATTTGTTCGTACGGTCAGCCAGGCTGGGAGGATTTGCTTGTCGATGTTTCTGCCTATACACACGGCCACCCCGCAAACACAGAAAAACCTCTAACGAGACCTCACCCTTGCTGATCCTTGACAGCGCTGTGAAAGATACTGGCTCGTTTAACCTGCTATGTGGCTGGAGCCGTTCATAGGAACAAAAAAAAATATAGCTTCAAACCTGCTGTCAGTTTAAACAGTTAACTTTCGAGAGCAGGCAATAAGCTGGCCGGGGAGCACAGCAAAACGGCTTGAGACATCCAAGCTAAACCCGTATTCTTAGATACGAGAATGCTGTGGTTATCGTTAGTGAATTGCGCCTGCGGAACACAGACCGAAATTTTAGGAAAAGAGAACACAGCCCGAGTTTTCTGAGAATAAACTGTTACTCACTTGGACACTGGAGATGAAAAACCTCCGGTAAACGCGTGAAAGACGTGAAAGCGTGCTGTTTACTGAAAATTGCGTTTTTTTTAATTAATTTTTAAACTGCAAAATCAGTTTAGCTGAAAGATTGCGCGTTTATGTTTTGTGTGACGTTTTGGTATTGATAAATTTGGTGATCAAGAAAGAAGATCAAGTGGGTCATTCGGTCGGCTAACAGCCTTCATCAAGCAGAAGACTTTGAAATGTACCCGGACGCAAGAACAGCCTCTTGGCCTCACCACACCTAGTAAGTTTTAGTAATTAAACCAGCCCCTATTTAGGCAGCATGCAGCAAACATGGAAAAAGCACATCTTCAGGGGAATCGTGTTTTGAAGCTCGCCGATGCTAACCTCCGATTGATTCGAATGGTTTGCGTGCCTCCACCGCCCAAGTGCATTCTCCGCATGCATGGGATTTAGTTCTGTCCCAGTTGGACACTAAAAGACTCGTTTATCTAGAGCACCTCTTTAAGTCCTTTAAAACTTTATAGATGCGTTCTCTTAAAAATATCAACCTAAAATATCGGGTGAAATGAATGAATGCGTTCATTTTTGTTTTAAATTTGATGAGGCACAAAATGTTTACCCTCAAACACGCTGTAGATAGTGCATCCTTTTTTCGCGTTTCTTTGGATAAACGCAAAAGTAATCGGGTAAAGTAACGAAGTAATTGATCCATTACTTTTTGCGGGAAGTGATTTGTAAAGGTAATTCATTACTTTTTAGGCCAAGTAATTGCAACTGTAATTAATTACTTTTTTTTAAGTAACGGGCGCAATGCTGTAGTATTCAATGTATTCATACTTTATGAAGGATTACTTTAACAGTTTACGACTGTAATATCCTGGGAGCGCCAAGGAACTATTTTTCTGTTATTTTTTTTTTCGGTTTTTACAGCGAAGCTGTTTATGGCTAGGGTTCCGTGGATTTTTCTTGTGCGTCAACAAAAACACCCTTTTTCCCGCTTAATGTAGCTGAAAAATTTACTCGCTAAATTTGGCGGAAAACTTTTGTCGCTAAATTTATCAGGAAAATTAGCGGGAAGAAGGAGGGAAGCGCACCGCCGTCTCTTTGTCGTCGCTCCAAGTGCCTGCGTGCCTGGTTTCCTTTCCTTCCGCCGGGTGGCGGTCCCGTCGCGCGTGTCTACAGGGTGAAACAAGGAGACGCCACGCTCTTTAAATCGACCGGAAAATTCGGTTTCTTAACCTATCGCGCTACGACTTTGTGCAGCGTTGCCCACAGATGGTGCATTGTTTTTGTAAAATTTGCGAAGAGCGAAGTTACCTGAGAAGAAAGTAAAGAAAGAAAAAGGCTTAGCTCCTATGTAAACGCAGCGACGCCACCGGTCTGCAAACGACACGGCGCCGTTTCGCACGGGAGACAAGAGATGGCGCAAGCGGCCGCGACGCCAACTGCCGCCAACGAACGAGCAGGCGACGCCGAGAGCCGGCCCTTTTGCAGACAAGGAACTGCAGTTCCTTGCTGTTACCGCGCCTGTCTTTTTTGTTTCTGCGAATGTCGCCCCGTGCGGATCGCGCGCCGCTTTTGAGTCGAAAAGATCGTGTGCTAAAAAGGCCTGCTCTGGGCGCCGTATGCTCGTTCGCTGGAGGCGTTTGTTGCGCCATCTCTTGTCCCCCGTGCGAAACGGCGCCGTGTTGTTTGCAGACTGGTGGCGTCGCTGCGTTTGCATAGGAGCTAAGCCTTTTTATTTCTTTACTTTTTCCTCAGGTAAGTTCGCTCTTTGCAAATTTTACAAAAAACAATGCACCATCCGTGGGCAACGCTGCACAAAGTCGTAGCGCGATAGGTTAAGAAACCGAATTTTCCGGCCGATTTAAAGAGCCTGGCGTCTCCTTGAATCACCCTGTAGTTTCCTCCGGCTCCTCGGGGCGGCGATAGTCTTCGACATCTGTGCGTACATTTCGTCATGATGACCACCCGTCAAGACAATAAATCCGTTCGTACCTTTGTTCCAAAATTGTGTGTCACGTCTGAGCCGTGTGCTAAACAGCTTCGCTGGTCATCCACTTTCTCAGAGTGGAATGGCTCATAATTTGTTTTCTAACTGCGACGTGAATTTTTTTTTGTCTACGGCGCGTTATTTTATTATTTTTTTATCGGCGAGAGTTAAAATTGCACAAACGTTTCAGACAACGTCAGCAGATGCGATTAACAACCTGACGGCAGCATAGACAGTACGGCATCTATTTTGAGCGCTAATTTCTTTTCTAGGGCAATCCATTTTTATCCCTTTATATTTCGTTTTCTCGTCAAAGCCGCTTACGCTGTGTCTGCTCCTGAAATTACTAAAAAATGGGTCGCAGTATTCGTAACTAGGTTCGTAATAAAGATAAATATAGCCAAGTTAATCAAACACCACGCTCTGAAAATATCGGTGTCTCTGTCGCCAGAGACATTTCTTGCACTCCGAAAAAGCAGGGACACGCTAGAAAATAAAAAAATAAGACACCGGAGGCAAGATCAGTGAAAAGAAAACACACTTTTAATATAATTGCAATCTTCAAATAAATTACTTTGTACAATAGGCTCCTAAAAATCTCGTTTTTCTTCTTTTTTCGTCGTCTACGACTGTACAAGCACAAACACATGCAGAAAAAAAGACAAACCGCGACAAATAGTTGCACCGAGAAATGGAAAGAATGGAATGACAATGGAGTGAACTCTAGGGAAGAAAACGAGAGAAACAAGGTCCAAAACGCAGAAATTGATCGCTGTGCGAACAGTTTCGCGAATGCTGCGCGATACGAAGAGGAGAGGCGCAAATGTTTTGCATATTTCATAAGTGCCTCCGATATCCTGGGGTGCACGTGCTGGTCACAATCCTGAGGTCCTAATACCCCCGGGCAACAAAAGGTCTTGCCCAAAAACGCAGTGCACAGATTGGTCACAAGCGCAGCGTCATCATTCTATCGGAGCCTCTCTTCCAATCAGGACGTCCCGTTAAGAGAGAGTGCACCGAGGTTAAATGGAGTGTGCAGAGCTAAGCCTCGAGAAATTAGAGAGTTTTCGAAGACCTCGTTTCCCCCTCAGCTAAGCCCTCCGCAGCGAAGAAGCCGTTCCTACGCCTACGCGCCGATGGCCTCGACTGTAGAGTTCCGGACATCGCAGCGGGTTGCGGAGAGCGTTGCGGGACGGCGAAAACGACCTACGAGAACTCCCTGTTGCCTACCCAATCTCACCAGTGTGCGTGTAGCGCTATCAAAAGCACAGGGGCGAACACATAGCAGCGTCCGCAGGTTAGCGATAGACGCGAAACATGTAAAGTAGCCAGAGCCCACGCGGTGAAGCGGCCACTTTTTAACTACTCTTCGTTTGTTTTTCTTTCTAACCTTTTTTTTTTTTTTTTTTGGAAAGGCGGACCTTGCATTACAGCCCGTGTTACTCGAATCATACTGGAAACAAGTGAGGCATAAATCACAGGAAATAGTGGTTAAGATTTCGCCCTTCCCGTATGCCAGATGTCTAGAGCAGAGGCGGTTATGACTCTTGAACGAGCTCTAGCTAAAGAAGAGCACTTTCTGAGGAATCTCGCCTGTGCTTCCTACACTGCTCCAATTAACTTTCGAAGTCGAGTATAGGCGGTGTTGCGTAAGTTTGTTCAAAAAAGTGTACCTAAATAAGAAAAAAAAAAAAAAAAAAAACCCGGAATGTGTGCTGTGGTGCATTATTTTTCAAAAGTGGTGTTTTAAATGCGTAAACTGTAAAAAAAAAAACAGCAACAAGTTTTTGTTTTTTTTCCTGCCGAAACTTGTGAACAATCTCTGGAAGAGAGTGCGGACAACCTCTTGCAATCGAGGGTGATCAAGCGCGGTCACGCAGCTTGGAGCACTGTTCAGTGCCTGGAACATACTTTAAAATGGGTGGAACACTGCGTCCTGCTTGTGTATATCAAGCAGCCTAGCGCAGGAATGATGCAAAATGACAATGTCGACGAGTTTTCGCGCGTCCTTCCTTAGGCAGCAAGAGAGCTGGTAAGAAGGAACAAGAAGCTGCCGTTGTTTTACCATAGGTTAAATTCTTCTAAATTCTGCCGATTTAGCTGCATCACGAAGCACTGAGTTCTAATATTTCCAACGAAACCTGCTGATAGACCGAAATTGAGCGTGAAGAGCTCGCGTCAAAATGGAATTCAGACTGGTTCACACAGTTGCATTTGGTTGAAACCAAATGCGCAGTGCAACCTTGTGATCTCTTACGACGAGAGAACGCACTGGTGCCATCTATCGTCTAGCCCTGGAATAGCTGAGATATCCGTATGCTTCTTTTTTTTTTTCCATTATGAGCTTGAAAAGTTTAGACAATGCAATAGAGGACCATTTCTCATGGATAGTATGTACACTCGATCTTTCCAAATACCGCAAAAACTTCTAGTGAAATGCATTTCCAGCGCCACCTCGTAGATGGCGCCCGCGTGAAAGTGCGCTCACTCGTCGTACGATATCCCGAGAAAGGCAGCGCACGCACTCGGTTGGAACCAAACCACTCCCTCAAAAAAGGAAGAAAGAGCAACGCGAACAATTTTTGCCGGTCATGGCAGATGAGGTAACTGGTGTTGTGAGCACAGAAAAACAAAACATGCCTGAGACGAAAAAACAAACAAACGATGCACGAATGTCTGAAGCAACTTGCTCCAATCTAAGCTGACGACCTTCCAAACACGTCAGCATGAAGAACCCCGGTACCGGGCGAAGTGTACGCACTTTACGGCACATTTCGTACGAGAGCTCCTAGGCAGACGCATTTTCAGCTTCGTACATTTACAGCGAATAAAAAATATTATATGGAACACGCCACTATGGCCCTAGCAGAAAGTACTTAAGGGCATATTTATCTCTATATTTATATCTATAAATAAATAAAAATAAGGGTCACACTTTGTCGTTACTTTAATGGTTAACTCTTCTCACACGAGGCTAGCTAGCTAGCTGCTGGAATAGAATGCCATTGTTAGAAATCTTTCGACGCGGTTGAATGCGCCTAATAAATTAAGAAGCCGCGGCTTCGAGAAGGAGGCAAAGATACTGCCAATATACAAACATGCGCGGATGAGAAACAAATAAATGGTCAGTTGACAGCAAGAAACAACAGCAATATCGCATGCAGAGGAGAAACTATAGCACCAGCACAAAACACAAACGCAACGAGTTCAAACGTTCAAAAAGCATGCACATCCGGTCTGCAGTCTATTGGAGCGTCTGCTTTCGCACCACTTTGGCAGTTCCCACAAGACACTACACAGGCCAGCGTAGCGCTTCACTTCAGCTTGGACGGGGGTGTTGGGCTAAGGGGGATGCGCAGGGTCCGGCAGATGGGTTGCCTTTAAAGCAACGGATCCCAGTCTCACACATCCTCGACAGAGCTTCTGGACGCACCGCTGCATCAGAAGCTGCGGCCGACAAAGCTCGAGTCTTGTCCGAGTCTTCCGGCTGCGTCGTAAATGCAACCGCGACCATTCTCGAATTCAGACGTGTGGAATACTTGTAAAAGGGCAGTGATGTTACTTTGATGGATCTTGGTTCATTTCTTGGGATTGACTGCACGAGGCTGCAGTTCTCGAAGCAGGAGCCAAGCAACAAATCAGACCAGTATGCTATCTTGGCCACATCTTCTACCTTGACCAACATCTTCTACAAAGTTGCTCTGTTGGCAGTGCACATCACAGCGAGGCCATTCTCCCCAGGTTTCCAAAGTACCTTCCCAATGTGTTATGCATAATTTAACGTTTTCCATGAGTGAGACACTAAACTAACGGTCCTAGCCACCAGTTTCGATGCGGGAGATCAGCGGCTCTTGGTTTTATAGCTGCGCCCAAAAAGCACCACGGCTTTACGCTAAACTCACGAGTCTTGCTATGGAAGATCACTTGCGGAGTCCTGGTCGAAATGTGGTCATTGCGGAAACCCGACTTCCCTATGTCTCCTTGCTTTGTCTTGTTCTTGCTCATTTGTTTGACTCTCTTGTCCTAGCATAGAGAAGCCAAATATTCCTTTTTTCTATGACTGGATACTTGTGGCAGGTCCGAAGCATTTGTTAAAGAACAATGTTCATTTTTCTCGTGTTTGTCCTGTCGCGATGTGCCCTTCAATGTTGGTTGGCACATCTCGTAAAAAGAAAATATTTCTTCGAGTTGTTAGATCTTTATCACCTTATGAACATCAGTTGTTACAGATGTTGCCTTTACACAACAGCCACTGGCGGTGCACTGGGATATCTAGAGAAAACCGACAGTTGGAGGACAGCTGCTTCGGTGGTCACCATGCATGCGCTGCTAAAGGATGAGCTCAGTTGTCTTTTTCAGTTCACACAAGGGCGCTGAGAAAGTCGATATTCACCCTTCTTGAGTTCTCTTCAGTTCCAGCTAAGGTTGGTGGGGCCCATGACATGGTAGGTTCCTAGGAGATTCCCAAGGTCGTCTCGTTTGTATGTTGTCGTCGGATGTTACCCATCACCTCTGGCCGAGCTTCTGAGGGGATTTCGCGTTCATCAGATCCTGCTGATGATCGAAGACTATCCAACGCCGCTGGCCCGGGTTCGTTGATGCATGTTCAGCACTTGCCTGTCCTGGAGTCTCCGCTCTGGGTAAGTGGTCGTTCTTGGGGTGACTGGCTACCCTCTCAGTAGTTGAAGATGTTGAAGAGTACAGCGAAGAGCGTGCAGGCGGCATATACTCCCAGTGCGACCCACCAAAGAAGCTGTTCGTGAAGTTTTTGCTCAAAGTTTTTAAGCACCAGCAGGCCGATGGTGAGCCCTGCCAGCGCACCCGTCAGGTGCGCCACATACGAAACTGGGGCGCCGTGGGGTTCCGCCGAGTAGCGGTCGTACACTGCAAAACCGACGTCTGCCGAGGCTGCACGAGAAAAGCACAGGGAGGAGTTTTTGAGGTCCCTGCCCATACTGCATCTGGCAACAATGAAACTGCACCTAAGTATGCTAGGTTCCCATGAAGAGGGTATGGAGCACTAATCAATGGGGCCTGTGAAAGGAGTCTATAGAATATAATAAAGAAATACAGATAGCTAGTTTCCGCCTTGGAAGATTTTGTTTACGTCTCTAGAAACACACATAAAGCAGACGGGTAAAGCCGAGATATTCTTGCCAGCACGCTAATTTCCTCACAGTTTCTCTTTGCGTGGCATGTGCCGGTGTCAGAGAAAGGACAACCATATTATATTGACCTTTCACAGAGGAGTGAAGCAAATATAATAGCTATGCTTTTATATAGATCATTTAACTCGACTTTTTGCAGCAAAGGCGCAGGGAGGGGGGAATCGTCCCTTCCCTCCCCCCCCCCCTCTCTCTCTATTCCAATCCCCTGAAGACTTCCGCTTCCAACGCCCCTGCTAGGGACTATATTGGCCAATTGGAAATCTCGCATCTCCAGCACTACCTAAAGCTCCGAACGCCGCGATAACAAAAAGATCAACGAATAAAAACGTGTAAAATTATTTTTTTAAAACCTGACAGCACAGTTTAATCACAAAATTAGAAATCAATATATGGGCACCCGCTGCGAACTAACACAACACAATGGACTAATGCCCTGCTATGCCCTTTTTGTGTGTGTGTGTGCGCGCGTGTTTTTGTATTAAAAGGGTTTTAGTGTTTGACGACTCAAGGGATAAATTGTGGATATGTAAAATCGCGATCTCTTTGCGAACCGACCACGTACTAGCGACTACGCCACTTGCATCAGCACTGGATAGAAGCGCCGAAAGAAAGGGACAAAGTGAATGAGGTACCGACAACACGGAGTGCTTCTTCACTTTGTTCCTGTCCTTCGGCGCTTCTATATAGCCATGAACCAACTAGACAAACTGAACATTTCGGTGGATCAGCAGTCCGCACGGCTAAGCAGCATCATTTGGCGACACGCTCAGGAGCGAGCGGCACAATAATGGGCAACTTCCGCAACCTAGCCGCGAATGACACTGACGGCGAAATGCATGAGGGTCGCATGCCAGCGTTGTCGTAGACTGTGGGGCGTAAGCTGTCATCTGTAACACTGCAATCAGACGTGTGTGTGCAAATGTCAAACAAACGTGTTTTTTTCTACTTTGTACAATTTATACTCATGCATATGGAGGGAGATTATGAACGACGTATAAAGCGGTACATAAAAGAACTCGCTTGTAGCAGTTCTTTGCTTCGCGTATTTTGAGCGCGTTTACAGCCATGCTTCGATGCAGGTAAGGTAAAATGCGCTGACTCCTCACCCTCTTTTCCTGTCATGTTTAAAATCCAACCCCATTGTCCGTTAATCAGGAGCGTAACACCTAGAGTGAGAGTCCCATTGGATGTCACATAAATTTGATGGGGCGGGCGATATTGCGTTGGGTTTTTACGCCTAACAGATATTGACACCGAAAAACGGGACCAGCGTGCTTGAGGGTGATCATTTGTTCAAAAGAATATGGTGGTGGGAAGTCAATATTTGAAATGTAACGCCTTACTTGAAGGACTTGTCAACACCCGAATGCCTAGGCAGTAGTTTCACAATGCTCAGGAAAGAAACAGGCGGGCAACCCTAAAACGCAGATTTACAAGCGAGGAATTCGGTTTCCGAGAAAAGTTTAAACCAAAAGAAACGTGAGCGCTGGGCATATCTACTTCAATGAACTCTTCATATGGGTGTTTCGTGTATTCTGGTGTAAATGCTCGAGCTAGTCGCATTGTTGCTTTACGATTTAGCCAGAAACCAACCCATGAAAACCGAAGATAGAGTGAACTCACCTATGACAAAGACGCCGATCAGTCTGACCAGGCCAAACTGCATTTGATTATAGTTCTGAAAGAAACGGATACAATGTCAGCTCTACCACAAAACACAACTTACAGAAACAAAAAAAAAAACAAAAAAAAACACAAAGAGCATGAAGTACCGCGTCACTTGGAACCTGATCATTGTGGTACTTCTTTTCTTCGTTTAACTTGGGTTCATATTTTTTTTAAATATTTCATTTTCTTTTTGGCAAAGGCAGATGTGGCGGCCGAACATGAGGGGCCGGCAGCTTCCGTCCCTAGAAGTGGCCGACATTCCGGGGAGTTCTTAAATGCAGTCAATGTTACGAGAACAACTCCGTTGGGAGACCTGCCCTTGAAACACGGACTCCTCGTGTCCACCAAAAGCGAGACACGGCGAGCGAGATTCGATCACAGCGCTGCCCTTTGGCGATCAATCAATCTGGAAAGTTGTTCACTTATCATCATAATCTAAACTCACCGGCAAGAAATAAAATGAAAGACAAGACGATACAAAATCTTGTCTTATCCATAATAGTATTTCTCCTTGTCTCAGTGTTTAGATTAAACGCATCCTAACCACCTTGCCTGCACACCTTCGCTCGTTGCAGTTGTTTAGTTAGTTGTGGGTACACAATGCTCTGAGCAAAACTTTCCTTCGCCGACACAGGTAAGACTTCTTTTTTCTACTTCTTTGGTTGGCCTTCTTGACTGGGCAGTTAGGTTGCGAGGAAGCCGCAAGGCGGCGCGTCTGTACCATATTCTCCGTTGCGGTATATCGAGTTGCTGAAGTTGCCACTACGACAGAAACGGTGAGGCTGCGATCGCATCAGCCTCGGCACTGAAGTTCGAGATGAAACCATGCACTTCTCAACAGTAAGCTCCTAGGACAGTTTCTTGACGGAGTTGATACAGTAATGAAGAATACAGGTCACGACGTATGCCACAGGATGTTAGCCGCAGGACGGGCACTTGACAGCAATCGGAAACTGCGGAAAGCGGTCGAAACGTCATATCCTGAAGCCGAAATTGTTGTTTAACTTTTAGCGCGTAAGAGAACCCAGTAGATGCCCCGCCTCCAGCACGCACTTAAGGTAGAGCGTCTATTAGGTTCTTAGCCTGCCACCGGTTATAATTCAAGTTTAACCGACTTTGTGCGTACCACGGGAAACTGAAAGCAATACCGTTACACCCACGCGAAGGCCACCCTAACATCAGAGTCACTCAGGTAAGTCCTGGCGTTCATTCTTGATACGTGTAGGCGGTATCCGTGTTTTAGTAACGACAAAGTTTTCGTTTACCTATTCCGGATTAAGCAACGCACGGCGATAAGGGTGACCGTGAAAATCTTCCCGATACAAGTAAGCAGTAGTACAGAAAGGCGACCCAAAGGAATCTACACGGCGGGTGTATCACAATGCTATCAATAGTAGTTACCCGATTCTAACGCACACCGTTTACTTAAATATCTATATCTATCTATATATATATATATATATAGAGAGAGAGAGAGAGAGAGAGGAAAACTGCTCGAGGGTTGGAATAAGATTGAATAAATGCGGTACATAAAAGATGCATGGCTTAGAGCAGCAACAAACACTCAAGAGTCGATCGGAGTTCCGAAGATTATCTGTTCACCATCGATTCGTCGAAAAGTCGTGTTTATGGACCGCTGACTGAAATTATCAAACCTTTTCAATAAAAAAAAAAAAAAAGAAAAAAAAACTTTTTTTTTTTTTTGCGCATTATTTACGTTCCGGCTTACAATTTGACCTGGCAGTGAAACCGCCACCGTGACCGCAAATAAATTGTTTCGAGACGCGGAAGACGCGTCGTCGTCGTTTGATGAGCCCCCCACATCGCGATCTCTGTTGATAGTGTAATGAACTGCCAACAGATGGCGCCACGTCCCTGTTAGTGCGCCGCCCTTATTGATGATGTCTTTATTCTTTTTATTTTATTTTTATTGGCGACGTGTGCGGTTAAGAGAGTGGCTTTTTATCGGTTTTTCGCGATTGGTCAAACGCTCACTATGACGGCTTGAGTAAGATTATTTCTAAGAAACAAGAGAGCGGTCAGACCCTCAAATCTGACGTACAAGGAGCGAACTCGGCCTCCACCGCTCATTTCACGCACCATCAAAAGTGTCGCTCGCTACTAAAAGATCATGGTCGTGACGTCCGGGATAGAAACCAAAAGATGTCGTCACCGAAACATCTCTTCGCCACCATAGGGTGACAGAATCTGTTCTGACGCTGTAAAACGAACCGGAAAAATCCGCGCCTCCACAAAGAAAACTCAGTCTTCAACGAATGTGCACAAATGACCTCCTCAGTGACCGTTCGAGGAAAGTTTGAGTTTTTTTTGCGCAGGCGCGGCTCGTTCCGGCTCGTTTTACAGCGTCAGATCCGCGCCACCTATAGATTCCCGCCTTCTAAACCAAGATAGCATGTCTGGTTGCACGCCAGTCTCGCTGCATCCACGGCACGTAGGCGGGGCAAGCCACAGCAACTGCGAAAACCCAGGTCTCCTCACCAGTAGCACGTTGGCAAGGTGGGCGGCCAGCAGCGCGTAGACGCCGCCAGAGGCCCCCACGAGGTAGACGTCCATGTCGAACACCGACGTGCCCAGGGAGCCTGCAGATCGAGAGGAACGCGCCACAAGTGAGCAACATTCGCCACGCAGGTACTATCAACAGGGGCTGGGATGGATCTACTTGCTGATTTACAGGCTGTCCTCCCAAAAACAATTGCAGCGTTTTTATTTTTATTGCAGAAATAAACTGCGCATCACGGAAGGCTCATTTTCCGTCCAAATGTAGCTGTAGCGGTGCAAACCAGATGCAGAGTTTCTTAACTAATCGTTACCCCATTGAAAAGTTATAAGGGATTTTCTGAAAATTTCAATGGGGAAATGGGCATATTCTCGGTAACTGGTGCCATTCAGCTACTTGGAGTGTAGAAAAGAAGAAAAAAAAAGGTCCTGGAAAGAACTGTTTTAAGTGGCAAGTAGGAAAAATGGCACCTGTAGGAAAAAACTATTTCCATGGTGTTCATTCTGAAAAGAGAAAAAACCTCGCAAATTTTCCCATCATAATAATCGCATTCTGTTTAGAGGTCTCTCTTTTTTTCTTTACCTAATAAAAAGAAACAAGGAGATGCACTTTAGCGCACTGGCGTGAACATTCTCAGTACATGCAGAAACGTCGGAATTGGGTGGTATGGACGACAGCAGGCAGAAAGTCTTCATTCGTCGTGATCCCAGAGGCATTCTCCTCGCGGAAGTTTTTAAAACGGCGTAGCAGTTTGGAGAGCGATGACTCGCTCTTTTATGGAGGAGCGCCTGCTCGGTCCTGGGCCATCTTCATGGTTAGGGTCGATATGTCTCAGCGTGAAGCGTCGATGGCTTTCCACAGTTGCATGGCTCAGGGCTGTGACCGGCAAAATTTACAAATCTATTCCATACTTCACGCCATGTGTCGAAGTGAACCATATTTTTTTTGTTCATTACGAAGGAAATTAAGAAGAAAATTGCAGCCTTTTAAACCGGAATGCGTTTATCGTGTTGGGGAAAATTTCCGAGGTTCGTACTATTAATTATTAAATCAGTTGCGAGGGAAATACTTCATTCCTTGCTCCCTGGGACCATTTTTTTTTCTATACTTGACATTTAAGACCATTCGTTCCGGTGCAGTTTTTCCCGGTGCCTTTTTTGGGGGGGTAATTTTTTTCCGGGGCCCTTTTATTGTAGATTGCCGATGACACCAGCTCCATGTATTCGAGAGCTCTGTCCGATCGTCATTTCCCCAATTAAGATTTCAGAAAATTACCCAACTTCTAGAATGAGATAACGGGTACTTCTGAAACTTTGGAACCTGGTTCAAACCACTAGCGCCACACTTGGGCGGAGAGTGAACGTTCGCCGATGCACAGCTTATATTTTGCGACGAGAAAAACACTCCAAATTGTTTTTGAAACACCCTATACTTTCCGTGCCATCGAGTCATTCTTCTTTTCCCACTTCCCCTGACTCCAGTGCAGAGTCGCCACAATAGCTAGGGCAAACGTCTAGGCTAACGTCTCTGTCATTCCATTCTTAAAACCAATTCGTTCATCCGTCGTCAATTTCCGCGAAAAGTTTGAAGGTTCGTGGAACCAGTCGAATCTCCAGGTCGACAAAAGTTCGCGGCATCCGAAGTCCGCGGGCGGCCCTCTGTGTTCCGCTCGGCTCAAGTGCCGCGTCTCGAACTGGTCTGTTTGGCGTCTGATCCCGCCCAAAGCACCCAAAAGAAGGCAACAACTGACGTCGCAAAAGGCGGAGTGTCATGTTGCTGGACGTCGCAATCCTAGCGGTTGGTACTAGAAGTCCCTGTGAAAAAGTACGGCCGAGTGTCGCTGTTGTCGTGGAGTCTCAGCTCCCGTCTGCCCTCCGTGAACTGTCCAAGTTGAACAGCGACCCGCAGCAGAGTGGGCATCATGCTGCATACATCTTCGCTGCTGCGACACCGCCAGGATTGCGGCCGCCGGCGACACAATACCATTTCCATGGCGTCATCAGGCGGACGTCGAGGAACCACTTTTGAGGACGCAGTAAACACACCGGTCGAAGACGCGTTGCAGGAGGCATTGTGGCTCGACGTCACAGCATTCCCGATCGCGCTGCACGCGCGAAAGAAGCGGGGCAGATACGCTCCGAGAGCGAAGCACAGTGGAGTCGATCAAATAAGCGAAAGGAGTGCGTGGGACGAGGGCCAGCGAGGTTTATTTATAGGCGCCGCTAGACGCGGAAGCACCCGAGCAAATGTTGCCTTTGCGCTCCGTTTAGCGCCCTGCTCACGAGACCGGAGCGCACTATCCCCCCACTTAGCACAAGCGGTCGCCCGATAAAGCGCGCACACACATAAAACTTCCAAAGAAAGAAAAACAACAACAAAAACAAACAGGCGAAGTTGCTTCCATTTGGCAAATAGATGGCACCACGATTCCAAAGCTAGGAAGGTATCGCGCATGCGGTTACTGCACGTAGGCGTCAATGACATTCTGCAAGGTGATCAATCGGATTTGGTTGCAGAGCGATTGAAGAACAAATGGACAAAACCAAATTCTGCCCAGCCATATACACTCTCCCAGAGATCGGTAACGGGGAAAAGGGGATAAAAGCAGCAACTACGCTGTTTAATGCCAAGCGGAAGCGATGCTGCAAAGATATAAAGTCAACCTACCCTCCCATTCCTTGACGGGCAATGAAATGGAGAAGGACGGACTGCACTACACGAAAGAAAGGGCTGGACATGATTGCCGACAGACTTGGGGCAGTAGCGAGTCATTTTTTAGGCTACCGTCAAAGAGGAACTCAACGCGGGGGGTGGCCACAGGAGGGTCACTAACAGACAGTGCGAGGGAGAACCAAGAGGAACGCGAACAGCTGCGCGCACGTTGCATGGTCGGGACACCTCATGCACATCCACACTTTCTCCCACCGGTAGCATACTATGCGGCAGAGACGAATACATCCCATGTATGATGGACCCAGTGTTTCCCCAAAAATTACCCGGAGGTCTATCCAACAATAATGGACCCGATTCACGAGCTGCGCGTGTTCATGGAACACATCGGCGATCAACAGAAACGCGTTTTGGGGATGCAGCCCCGAAAGTGGTCGAGAGCGCCCTACGTGCTCCGGTCGCAAGAGCCAACGCGGTTCCGACGCAGAGGCTGGAGCATATCGCGATTATGACAAGTTCCCTTAAATGCCCTCTATCATAGCCTCCTTTATTCTAGAAAGCCTGTCAACTCCCCGACAAAGCCACGGAGCGCCCAGCCGCCGCAAAAGCCGGGGAGCAGCGTCGAACGGTCACCGATATTTTAGCGCAGAGCAATTTCTGGGATGATCCCTCAGCCAGCGCCACGCGGCGTCCTGCGGCCTCTCTGCGAAACACATCTGCGTTTAGATGGTTGCATTACCTGTAGCCACGCCAGCGCCATCGCTAGCCACATGCGACCGATAGCACGTTAATCGCCGAACGCTGAATGCATGAGATGCTCATTTTTCACCCTTGTTCTCGTTAACCATATTCTGTTATCAATCAGGCCCCAAGGTATTTGCAGCAGGTCAAACGCGAAAGTCAGAGCGAAAGCTGTACAAGGTCAAAAATAAACTGATACGATTTGATTTCAAACTGTGCCATTAAGACAGCAGCAGACGAACGAGTGAGTTCCCAAACAAGAACAAACCGCAACAAGGAAAAAAATAAAGGAGAAAGGAGGCTATGGAAGGAGGCTATGAAAGGAAGAACCGAGCGCATGGAGGAAAGGGGAGAGGAGCGAAAAGCGAAGAGTTGACGCAACGCTTTCTCCATTCGCGCGCAAAGAAAAAAAAAAAAAAAAACATTAGTCGGTGCATATGTGCATTATGCTGCATAAATTTCCGTAGAACTACGTGGGGGTGGCACGAGGACTGCGAGGGGGTTAATGCTTCGCCGAGTCGCGCGAATTTCCCGTGCCGCAGTGTACGCGAGCTCGGCCACCGACCGATGAGCGAAGATTGCGGAATCACGGCCGATACAGATAAACCCGCTTGTGCGCGCCTAGCGGCGAGTGCCGCGCGGCGCCCACATCCACCGCTCATGTGTTCCATGGTTTAGGTGGTGTTGTTCCTGCGCGCTACCTCTTTCTTGTTCCTCCTTTACAGCGGTCAGATCTTTCTATACTTGACATGCTTTGAAGAATGAAGGAGGCTACGCTTCTACAATCTTCCAGCTGCAGGTTATGCCCGTGAGACGTGTAGTTAGCTCCGTCGCACCCAGCTCTCTTGACGTCCCCGCTGTATTTTTACAACAGCGTGAAGCAAAGGGACGGTCAACGGCAGAAACCATTAACGGAGCAAGGGTGGCTGGCTCTGGGTGGCCTGACTAGCAGAAGCACACGCATACGGGCCCCCGCCTATCTGCCTAGCCTTGCGAGCCAACCAGAGTACCTAGAGGTTCTCTGATAAAGATTATTATTATTATTATAATTCAGACTAACACGTTCAATAGATGATAAAAGCTTAACAGCGAACAGTTGAACGTGACGGCGACATCTGAAGGCATGAAGATGCCTGAACTCGGGATGTAGCCTGGTCTGGTTTAAAAGGGATCGTTTTCGCGACGGTTTCGGGGAGATAAGATAGTGTTCTCCGTGTCATTTAATGGCATAAAACACGTTATGACGCGCAGCTTTACGTCTAAATAGCAAAACAAAATTCCAATTGTAACAATAAAAACAAGATGTATAAATTCGAACTTGAGCAGCTACTCCGTGTGAACGCGGTAGGACTGTGTTGCTGGAATTGTGACGTCCAGACGTTGGGGAAAATTACTCCGTCTAAAGGGCTGTCCAAACAGAACACAACAAGAGCCCCGCACGGCAATTGCTGTACCGGAAGTGAAGGTTTTCCTCTGGTCCAACTTGTCTTGAAACGGATTTTTTTTTTTGTTGTTGTTGTTGTTGTTGCCGGGGGGAAGTTATTTTTGGTTTTTGTCTTTAGACTCAGGCTGGGAGCGTGCTCATCCCGCGGGTTCAGACAGCCACTCACACTCTCTGCCTGTCTTCCAAGCCTCGGCTGTTGTTGTCTGTCCCCAGCCTCCCGAAAACAAGGAAAAGAGGGAGACGACAGCGAGGAGGTGGGAAGGAAAGCCGTGCCTTATGCGTGGTTCATGTCCTCAGCGAAAGCGGACAAGCGCTCCGCACCGTCCACGTTTGTTTCCGCCTTTTTTTTTTTCTGCCGTGCATGGCATTTGCTCTGTCCTGTTTGGACAGCCTTTAAGCCTTGGGCGAAGTTCTGGAGTTGAGGGGAGGAAGGGGCGGACGCACCTGCCAGCACCCCTGCCATGTAGACGGTGCCGATCCTGAGCGAGCCGTGCACCATCTCCAGAGGGAGGCCCACCAGCATCTGGACGAGCAGGTTGAACAGCAGGTGGATCCACCTGGGAAGAAGGATACAAGCTAGAAGACAAGGTCTGCGCCCCAAATGCTGGATCCACCGGTAGCAGGCGTCCGCATCGCCGCGTCTCGCAGCGTCTCACAACGAGCACGACGCGTGGCGACACAAGAACGGAAGCGTCTGCCGCTTTACTCTCGTCGAGCATCAGCGTCGCTTGGGGTGGATAGGGGATGCACTCGCGATGACGCAGGCCTTGACTTCTAGTGGTGACGCTGCTTTTCTCACTCCTGCCAATCATCCAAACTGGTGCCACGAAATAACCGTGCTTCGGAGCATCCGCGCTCTATTCAGCGAAAATCTTGTGGGCGCCGCGATATTGCTGCTTATATAATGCAGAGCGGGCGCGCCATTCTCCATTTAGAAATAACAGGCGCCACCTGGCGAGAAAAGGATTACGAGGATTCCCAGCACGATGCTCGCATTAGGAATGAAATAGATGAAGCGGCTTTGAACGAACTTGGGGCGAAAAGCCGCAATAGGAACTTTGAGGGAGCCCAATCTACGTGAGAGGAGCCCAATAGAGCCAGCAGGACCTAGCTTCCAAGGTCGATAAAGTGCCTAGACTCCCTTTAGCACGTGCTCAAAGATTTTTCTCATCAAAATTCCCGAGAAAAGGCGATTTCCAAAAATGGACCATTGTCTATACTTAGGATTTGAAAATGCAACTTGTGGTGTCGCGAAGCCCAGACGATGTCGTCTTACTCTGTCGCGGACTGTTAAAGCGTTTCTGGAAGACAGGGAAGCATGTTATTGCGATTTCGGACAAATGGCAACACTGATCCGAAGCATCAAGATGGCTGCGGTTACTCCGAAGCGTAGCTTATTTCGTGGCTCTAGCTCGCGCACTAAGTGAGGCAAACTATAGATTGCGAGGCCGCAGTGCTGCTACGTCACGTACCGGAGGCCAGAGCAAGTGGGGACTCTAGTGCTGGGAATCGTGCCCTCACTGCCTGAACACGAGCGGTGACTACACTCGTGGCCTATCTGTGCCTCCGGACGCAGAAAGCGCATCGTGATCTAGGTCCGAGTGTTCTCACCCTGCGTGCAGCACCATGTAGAAGACGAAGCGCCAGACCTGGACCCTCTTGTCCGGCCGATAGATGAAGAAGCTGTCGATGGGCACGGGACCCGTCGGGGTCACGGCGCCCGTCGTCACCGTGTAGTACGTGAAGAAGCCCAGCTGCGAAAGAGGGACGAGGCGCTTGTTTAGGGAGACGCCGAAACAACACGCCTCATGTATACAAACAAAGAGGTCTTTTCCCCCAACAGGGTTGCGCGCTCCAAACCAGATTCGGGAGAAGGGATCGTGCGTGTGCAGTAACGACACCAGCGCCAACGCAGTGAAGGGACGTCAGATAGGTGTATAGCTCCCGTGACGAAAACCTGGCGCGTACGAAGCCCTTCCGCTCGGGTGATGTGCGCGGCATTGCCAATGACCTGTCGTATTTGGCGCCAGAGGACATGAGACATTACGAATACTCGATACTTTTCCCGAAGACAACGGCTCCAAAAATCTCCGCTAGCGCCATCTATTGTCTCGGTGTCTGGATTACAAACCTGTCCAGTATTACACCCTAGTAAAATATTTGGACACTGTCGTTAGGCAAGGACTAGGCACACTACACGTAGTCGAACCACCGCACTACTGGCGACGAGATTTTAGTAGCAGACCTCTTAGGGTTCCTACCTGTGACGTGACGATAAGAACGACCGTCTGCAAATGAAAAGTCGGATGGTATGTGCAAAGAGTACGTTGAAAGATCGGCGTCATCGCGTTATATAAACTAACAATGTCAAATCGGCAGTCTGAAATTACTGTGTCAAGGAAAACAGAACTTATCCTACTTAAGAAGTCATATAGTGAGCGTTCAGCCACTCTCGAAAGGGCACCTATAGCGACGACTTCGGTTGCGTAAGTCGTCAATGTAGTGAAACCTCTGTGACCTGAACAATTGCTTTGAAAAACACCAGCACACCAAAGGCACGTTAACTCCGCACTTTCATGACATAAAAATGTCCACTTCGGAACATGCACTTCGAGTAGATTTTGAGTTTACCGATTCTATACTACGTTTATGAAAAATGTGCATTCACCGCCTATACCTCGGCAACCGAACTCTTCCGTCTTCAGCAGGAAGGTTCGCATATGCAACCTTCATTCCTTTTTTTCTCCGCACTGGAAGTACATCGACAGTATACTAAAATGCCGGAAGTATATCGCGTCAAAATAAACTTGGAGCGCATTTTCGTTTACAGATTGGAAGTGCACTGTTTAACTTTTTTGTTAGACCACCCATATTAGCTGACGTATACCATTTCGCGTTCTAGTAAGGCCATAGCACGTTAGTGATGTCCTCACTTTTCGTCATCATTTTGCCTTCTCGTTTCATATATAGGGAGTAGACAAGTTACAACCATCGTCAACTCGGTCGTGTGCTAAGGTGTCCATCGTTGCACCTGGCCAAGTTGGTGGTCTCAGTTTTCACAAGAAAGGAGTTAAGCGGTCAAATTTCACCAGACAAAATGCACCACCTAAATGCACGTTCTGTGAAAGTTTGAGCTATCGGGGAGGAGATCCAAACTGCCCATAGTGGCTGGATTAAGAACTAAACCCACCGGGACAACCACAACGTGAATTATTTCGAGGCTGGCAGGACACAGGAAACACTAGCACACAAAGCCTCTAACACTGCTAGTTACGTCTATCCAACAGCTTGTTTGCGCCCTGACTTTCTGTTCACGTTGTTTCTGACGCAGCGCTCGGCTGACAATCACTGCGACGGCGTTCGGCTGGGGCTAATGAGGGAAGCACCGATGGAACACGAGCTCCGAGCCGAACGCTTTACGTAACACTCGCGTCCGACTTGTGGCCCACGCTCGATCGAGCAAAATGACATAGAGAATTCAGTCCACGGGTCTGGCGTTGGGTAATCAGCGAGCTGCGTGGAAAACCAGCTGGATAAAAGCACCTTCTGTAGTTCGATCGATTGCTCCGGCTCATTTTACGTGACAAATTACGGACAAATTAATAGATTATAAAGCGCGGTGCATGCCATGTCGTCGGACAGAGTTATTTGCCACCCAGCCCGCCCGCACGGTGGTCAGTCTTCCAAAGCCTCCTCACAATGCAGACCTGCCGCAGGGACCGACCAATATCGTCCGCAGCGGCGGATCGTTGCGTAGGAGAGGCAGGGGCGGCCACGGTTCGCCGACCGCCCCGAGCGCGGCAGCTGGCCACCGACACCGCTCACCGGACTGCGACGCTCGCCGAGTCCGCGCCTCACTAATGACTCTAATGAACGAGAGGGGACGCCACCTACTCACCAACCCCTCTCCCGAAAGATGAAGAAAGAGGGACGCTCAAGATGTAGAATACGGAAGGCGCACGTGGGTCTTCCCTTCTTCTCCTCGAAGAAGATAAAGGGACGTGCGCTCGCCAGCTGTGCGAGCGGCCAGCGTGCCGCGCGCGTGCCCGGCACGCCGGAACGCCGCTCCGCCTTTAATTGCACGTGTCGGTTCCACGCCGAAAAAGACGAGTGGTAGGCCCTCGAGAGTCGGGCCATGCTTCCATCGGGAAGACGGCCGCTCGTCGCCTCGAGGGGCATCGTGATTTCGCGGGTGCTCTCAGGTGCGACGGGTTGGAGGGCAGCGTGGTGGCAGTGTGACGGGTCATTCCGAGGGCTCCGTGCTGTCGGTGACTACCGATAAACATCGAAAACCAGCCCCCAGCCCGTTTGATTAAGATCGGGAAAAACCGAAAGTCTCAAAACAGTGGCATTCGTTGCCGCCGGGTTTAGCGGGTACGACGAGAGAAAGAAGTTATCTCGGGCTCTGTTCTCGGAACTCGAGGATGGCACAGCAAGACGATCGAAGTGCGGGCGAAAGGATGCGGTGTCACGGTCATCTTACGCGGTAACCTAGATTCGTCTAGCGTTCCATTTGCACGAAAGAACGTGCGAATGTAACGGCTAAACGCCGGCGGCTTTGGCGCCGTTGTTGATACGGAGTGCCGCGGATGTTCCGGTGCAGCAGAGGAGTATGGAGTGCCTGCGGGTTAGTGACGCCCTATGCACCGTTCACGTGCAGCTGCTCCGCCGCAATACCCTGCTGGGCGACGGCGAAGCAGCCGTCGCAACGTCAGGGGCGAGCTGGCGACCGGAGACTACGAGCACCATTCGTTTCATCTCGTTGAGTTCCTTCGTGTCAACTAGTGTCAATCTTGACGGCAAAATTAAAATTATCTTTTAAAAACATCCAACCTGGCAACTGGTCAATAATAAAAAAAAAAAATAACATTGTGCGGAAATTGCCGTTGTGGTTACGCTGATTCTCGACGAAATGCGTCAGCATTTAGCGGAGGAGTTTCGATTGGGGAAGGAGGGTAAGTCCGACAACGCAAAGGTCCGCATAGTGTTCTGTTCGGAAAGGCAGTCTGTTGTCCCGGGCGTCGGCGGTTTCAGATGCAGCCACCCACAGCTTCCCTCGATCGCCGCTTACCGTCCACATACTGTTTTTAAACAGACACTAGGGAGTTTTCGGGGACCGCGTTTCCCCCTCCGCTATGTCCCCGCAACGAAGAGGCCGCTAGTGCGCCTGCGGGCCGATGGCCTCGGCAGTAGAGTTCCGGGTATCGTAGCGGGTTGCGGACAGAGTTGCGGAACTGCGAAAACAGCCTACGAAAACGACCTACGAAAACTCCCTCATCTTTCCTTCCAGATGTCGGAGGTTTCGCGCAAACGGCGTCGCAGCCACGCCTCAGTTTTACGCTGTCGTGTACGTTGTGCACACAGTGGGAAAACGAAACCACACGCCTAGGCCCCGGTACCATCGTGAGAGGAGCGCGCGGGAACAGCGGCGCGCCGTTAGAAGCGTGCGAGAAGACTCCTTCCCTCTTACCTAATAGGGAAAGAGTATGGCCTCACGAATTCAGTCCAGTCCAAAGCACGACCGTCCAAGCCAAAGACGGCTGCATTGCACCGAGGCGGTAAACGCATTTAAAAACGTGAGCATATTGGCAGTTAGAAGACGACGCCCGCGCATGAAGTCGGCGCTAGTGGATCCCAAGAGACGCTCAAGCTCGACACGAAGCGGCAGGGGAGTCTTGGCGACGCCGATTCGAGCTAGGCGGCGCCGCCTGGATCCACTACTGAGGACGTTCGGGCGCAGCCAAATGGGAGCTGCAGAAAATACGCGCTCAGCAGCGAGGCCACTACAAAGGCTGCTGATATGGCCCTAGTTCGAGCCGTGTATGCGCCAAAGTCTCTGATGTCACGTCGATGGTGCTGCCGTCGGTGCCGCGCATGCCCAGATACGTCTCTTAACGCGGTTCTACGCACGCGGAGTGGCCACACCTTTCGTCGGAGAAGACTGCTTGTAAACAGTGCGTTTGTCTATACTTGCGCGGGAGGCGTCCGCCATTCAATTGAAAATGCCTCGCATGGTATAAATTGCTCTCTCGGAGTTTCTTTCCGATGGCATTCCCGAGGCTCATCATTGCAAGCACACGGCAGCGGCGGCGGCGAAGAAAAACACCCGGTTTGGCGGTGGCCGGGGGCTTCGGATTAATAATTCCCGGTTTGTACCGGGCGTGGTTCGGCCCCCGCCTCGACGTCCGATGGGGACGAGGCCGCGCCCAGGCACTCCACGACTTGGCCGGACCCGTGTCCGCGCCCAGGGCGCGGGAAGCGCGACCGACCGACCGACCGACCCACCCGCGAGGGCCCCGAAACTAGGACGGAGACCCGCTGTTTAAGTGGCCCCCATCACGAAGGCTTTCTTAGGGCCAAGCACGACATCACCGGTTGGGAAGAACGACGGTACATGGGAGGTGTGCCAAGAATTAAACAGGTCGGCCGAGTAACGCGCCTGCGTAAAAACCTCGAGATGAGCGAATGGGCCGAGAAATATTAGGGGAGACTGCGTTTATCGAGTTGCAAAAGGAAACTGTAGAGGGATTGCGCAATGACCGCCGGCGCTGCACATATACATACACATACGCATACACTTCACCACAATTGTGAGCGCAGTGAAACGTGTTAGTAGTACGTCGAGTGAAAGCTTGTGCTGCGGAACGCGGGCCACGACCACGAAAGATTCGCGCACTTCTTTTTCGTACAGGAGACAGCATGGGCATCTTTCAGTCACTACGCTGCGAGCCAACTATTCTCGCTGTTTCACCGT